ATTTTTCACTACCACCGGATGTGACGGTGTTTTGTCAGCCTGAGGGATGTCTAACACTAAGCACTCACGCAGGATGCGGTCAGGGCCGTGATCCCCAATTTTTTGTTTTCATGCTAACAGAAAAGGACTCTGCAAAAGTGCGATATGGTGTATGCCTCAATTTTTTTCAACGCTTAGAGAAGAGATTAACTAACACATGTCGATCAAGTGGGACTACCGCGCTCTCCGAGAAAATAAGAGAGCGTACTTCATCGTTGACGAGCCTATGCTTGATCTCGCACCATCCCTTTGTTTCGACCTTCCATGACTTACTGGTTTTACTTAAGCAAATCATCGATGGCTGCAATTATAGAGCGGCGCAAAGGAATGCCAACAAGAATCTTGTGTGGTCAGTACTAAGTGGTCGCTGGCATAATACAATTCCTTCCGAAGCAATGCAAGAGATTAAGGAAATCGAAACTTGGATTCTTATGCTTCTCAGTTCACCTGTGCCTGTGCCGGGCAAGACCAAAGTGGAGTTAGAAGTGATGCCTCCAGAAGTGTCTCCTGTCTTCGAATTCGCATTACCCGATCACACCCGATTCTGTCTTGTGGATTTTCCCCTTCACTTGCCTTTTGAGTTGCTCGGAGTCGATACAGCAATCCGTATTTTGGCGGCCGTAATGCTTGAATTCAAGGTTGTCATTCAATCTCGAAACTACAATGCTGTCAGTATGTGTGTGCTCTCTTTGGTCCACCTCTTGTATCCTCTCGAGTATATGTTCCCTGTCATACCTTTATTGCCTTCTTATATGCCATCTGCGGAACAGCTATTGCTTGCCCCAACACCATTCCTTATTGGAGTTCCAGCTTCCTTTTTTGCTCATAAAAGGATAAAGGAACTGCCAAGTGACGTTATTCTGGTTGATCTGGATTCTACTCATGTAATAATACCGGAGGACGTCTCCATTCCCAACTTGCCCGAGCCTGATGCTACGATATTGAAGAATAATCTGAACATGGCAATCAACAAAATGGGCACCACTCCACTGGAGGAACACGTAGGCGGATACTTTGACGTTGATGCTGATATGGTGGACATATTGTGCCGAGTGGCAATGATAAAATTCTTCAATTCTCCCAATGTATTTGGTGACTTTTCGGAGCATACTCGCACTTTACGACTATATCCTCGACCAGTTGTGACTTTACAGTCGGATTCATTCCTGAGAAGTCGTCCTCATTGCACTCAATTCATCACTGATCTATGCAGAACCCAGGCTGTAGAATACTTTGCCGAATGTTGCCTCTGTCCCAAAAATGAAGCATATGTTCGTGTTCAAGCGGGTATTGAAAGTCCAACTCAAATTGGTGACAAGGCTAAGTGGTACAATGAATCGCTCATGCCTGTGCACTTTACTGTCTACCCAAGTGGTTCTTCGCTCTCTGATGCTTATTTGGTGCTCGTTCGTAACGATGAGTCGATTGGTTCTGACAGTGATGAAAATGATACGAGATCAGTTGACAGTTCTTCAAGCATCGATGACTTGCTGTTTGACGATCCAGGAGAAGGTGCTGAGCATGACGTCGTCATAAAACCTCTAGCCCAGGTGAATGATGTGTACAAGGAACCGCTAACTTTGGAACTTCCGCCTAGCGAGAGCGTAACTTCTGTTGGGAGTTCCTTCAGCAGCGGCAGGTCAAGCCCAACATCATCAGTGTCAGCTTCTGCTGTTGACAGTGAGGCCGATTTCGCGAAACTTGCGGAAAACCTTGCTTTCCAATCGGATTCCAAGGGCGATTTTTCATTTGTACACGGAGAACGGAATGGTAATGAGAAGTCCCCTGTGTTCCGGAAACATTGGCAGGGTGCTTTTGACCTGAGCACTCCAACTTCCTACAAAACAGCTCCGCTCAAAGGAACGCGAGTTAAAGGTATATCTTCAACGAGCGACTCTGGTGAGAGGGCTCTTAGACCGGCATTCATGAATACCATAAACGGATATGCTGAAAGGAGTCAAGGAATTTTCAGTCAAGTTTTCAGCAAGACGGCTCCAAAAGCACATGCGTTGCGTGAACGAACCATGATACCTCTCGCTGCCGTGGCTGCAACTACAATGGAGCAAAGTCAACATTTGGTAAAAAGCAAAACTGTAGGAAACCAGACCAGTACTCGGACTGCATCTCAACAAAGCAAAAATCAGCAGACCGTTCGCGACATCTGTGACCAAGTTATATCTGGGCAGGGTGTTGGCGTGTTCACTTATCCGAAGTTAAAACGGCTGATGGAGGATGAAAGCTTGCGCGAACTGGTATGCTCGAAGCTCAATTTAGGACTAGAACAACGCCTCACCGATGGAGATTATGTAAAGGAAGTTGAGTTAACGAGAGCTCAGTACAAGGGTTATGTGCGAGTTCTTCAGGCGTGCATCGCAGGAATTGAGGTATCCTTCAATTCGCCAGGATGTTGCGGCTTAGCAAGTGTCTTCCATGTGCTGGAAATAGCTCACACGCATTTCTGGTGTAAAGGGAATGATATCTCATCTCCTTCGAGTTCTACCCCTAGTGCGAGCGAAACTCCATCCTGGCCATCCGCAGACTCGAGGGATTTGCTTGAGCGTTCTGGTGAAGCAAAGCGTATAACAGCACCTGTTGAGATTGTGGCGCACTCACAGAAGTCTGAACCATCACGTGCCCTATCAGCAGTGGCTTCTCTTACACCTCCGCCAATACCCCCACGTGATTTCTCCACAAACATTTCAAAACGACCGTCACAATCTGGAGTGGCTCCGTCATCGTCATCACCGTTGTCACTTTCAGCTACATTGAAAGGTCCACCGAAATCTCCTCCACCAGGAAGAGTACCGCTACCAGTGCCTCCACCAGGAAGAGTACCGCCACCAGTGCCTCCACGGCCGAATATGCCTGGTGATTCTCACCTCGAGGAAGGATCTTCAGGCGAGCGAAGTGCTGCGCGCCAGGTGCCACCAAGTGCATTGCCGGTATGGATGGGGGAGCCGCAGAAAGTCCTTGCTGCACCTTCAGAATCAGCTCGACATTTCATCTATCAGGATTTAATACTGCCCGTCCAGAATCCTTTGTGGCAAAATTTAATGTTTTGGGAAAATGCCTTCGTAGACGTGGTAGCCCAAGAGCGAGATATTGTGGGAATGGATCAAGAGCCATCAGAAATGATAGAAAGATATGCTGCTCTTAGTGATATCGAAAAGAAGCGTTTGGAACTAGAAGAGGATCGCTTGTTATCCACGCTGTTGCACAATATGACTGCCTATATGATTATGTGCGGAACGGGTCAGAAGGCTATACAACAGAAAATCCGTCGCTTGCTGGGAAAAGCACACATTGGATTGGTTTGCTCCATGGAGATCAACAAACTTTTGGATAAGCTGCCGCAAACGCAGGGCAATTCCATTCCTCTGAAGCCACTAGGGAGTCGCCTGGTTCAGAAGTATTCCTTTGCTGTACATGATGGATCAAGTTCGCAAGATGACATAATGTTCATGGAAGT